ACCACACTTAGCACCCAAATAGCTTTCCTGATGATTTTTAGAATCAGCCATTTATGGTCCAAGCCTGGAATACCCTTTTCTTACTCACACCAAGATGCCAAACAGGTATACAGGGGCCTTATAAAAAACTTGTGTCGGGCAGTGGTGGCGCACACCTTTAATCCCAGCACTCTGGAGGCAGAGCCAGGCGGATCTCTGTGAGTTCAAGGCCTGCCTGGTCTACAGAGTGAGATCTAGGATAGGCACCAAAAGTACACAGAGAAACCCTGTCTCATATGTATATGAACTCCTAAGGGCAGGAAACACGACAGCCCAGCAGCTGCAGCACTGGTGTGACTGGGTCTGGCTTCTTTGAGGCTGTTACCAGCTGCAGGGGGTTGGGATAGGGAGTCCTGAGCAACACCCTGGGTTGCTACAGTGATTCCCCATGGACCACCAACTGTGCGGTAAAGAATGGGATCTACCTCTAGGTGGAGATGGTCCTTGTTTCTTCACTTAAAAATTAATCTAATGGATCAGGGAAGGAACCTGGCTAGAGGATCTAGGAAGGGTGGTTCACCTTAGATAATGTACCTTTTCTTTCCAGGATCCCTGTCCCTTACTGCATTCCCTACTACCAGAGCCACCAAGAAGTTCGGCTGGATTTGCCCAGCTTTCTGAAGCCTGATGCAGAAACACCTATTCATCTTTCTTCCCTCTGTCTTTTCCTTTCGGGTGATGGCTATATCTATATCTTGAAGTATGATTTAAACTTCCTAATGCTTTGGGCTTCCTTGTGCTTTCTAAGTCACCCATCCTAATGGCGTAGACTGCCTGCCACCATGTGGCTGACCTCCATGCCACCTTATGGTGACTTCTGTTCCTTCTAGTCTCCTTTCTCTCTCTCTTCTGGGCAGCTGCAGATGGGAAGCTTGCCTGCTTGGGGTTTTCCTCTTAAACTCTGACAAGTTGTCCTCAAGCTTCTTGTTGAGTCTATTCTTTAATTCTCCTATTACCAAAACTGAGAACCCCAAGAGGGGACCCTGATTTTCCAAGGATTATATAGCAGCTCTGTGGGAACTCCCTGAGACTTCAGATACCACATCTCTCCTGCTTTTTAGTTCTTTAGTTGGCGGAGAAGACAAACCTGCTACTGCGCTCTGAGACGGCACCAGGTCCTGCTCCGAGCATTCCTGATCTACATCTTCCCAAATGATTTGGGCTTCAAAACCTAGTCTCTCTATATACTCCAGGATAGACTGGAACTCACGATCCTCCTGCCTCAGCTTCAGCTTTTAGCCAGACTTATGTGAGACATCTGAGGTTGGAGAGAAACTTTAGGTCAAACAGATGGTAAAGTTAGCATCTGACTGTTTTTGTTATAGTTTTATAAGTCCTGTATATATTTCTCCCTGCTTTGTGACTTTCTAAGGAGAAAAAAAAAAAAAAAAAACTATTCACCTGAAATGGGGAAGGAGTGGACAAACCAAAGAAACCTGACTTAGAAAATAAGGAAGTTTTTTGGTGTTATTTACAGGAGCATGGGCAACTTGTGAGCAACTGTACCATAGAAAAGTCTCTCTCTGTCTCTGTCTCTCTGTCTCTCTGTCTCTCTCTCTGTGTCTCTGTTTCTGTCACACACACACACATACACACACACACACACACACACACACACACACACACACGGCAATTTTACCTCTTTTCTTTGAGGTAGGATCCCATGTAGCCCAGGCTAGCCTTAAACTTGCTATAGAGTCAAGGTGGCTTTGAACTCCTGATCCTCCTGTATCTCCCTCCCAAGTGCTGTGATTGTAGGTGTGTGCTATCATGCCTGCCTGTATGAAGATACAGTGGTGATGGGTCTGAGAGGAGTGTCCTGTGACTCTCTCCCTCCCTAAGGAGGAATGCTTGCCCCATTACCGGACCTTCGTGTTTCATTGCCATGACAGTGGCCATGGTCTCCGAGGGTCACTGCAGTCTCCCGGCTCCATGGTGGTGCTGCTCATGTCAAGACTGCAGGAAACAACTAAAGCACATTCCTCAGAGAAAGAATTTATAAGAACACTTGGTCCAATAACCATGAGTTCTAATAATAAATCTGTAGGTCTGGCTTGAGTCAGTGTATCGCTGGAGTGGTCTGTACATGTCCTCTTATTTTAAAACCCATTAGATTGACAATATAAACCACGTGCAGTTTGTAATAAGTAAACAGTAGAGAGATCTATGAAGGACAATGGTCACTCTTCAATGACCAGTGATGCACTTTCTAGGCAACGAATGAAAAAAATGTGGTATATATCTTTCCACTTCATTCTCCATGTCTGAACAAACACCTAAAGACATGTATGTCACCTGTCATGGTGGCACACACCTGTTTTTTCTACACTCAAGAGGCTGGGGCAGGAGGAGTTGGAAATTGAGGCCAGCCTGGGCTATACAGTCCTGTTTCAAATCCAGACATGTATAAATGTATACATGTATACATCATGTAAAATTGTTTTATGTTCCTATTGCAAACATTAGTCTGTAATTTTCTTCCTTGTGCTTTGCTCAACACATTTTTATATTACTGTAAATACTTACATATATCTTACTCATTATTTTTAATAAACCATAAAGATCTGTAAGTATTACTCTTTTCTTTATGGCTAAGTGTTCAGACTGTGTTCTGTATCCTCCTCATCCCCACTCCCTTGGGAGAGAACCTACAGCTAACCTTAGTCCTCTTTTTCTTTTTCTTTTGAGACACAGTCTCACAAGGTGCCCAGATTGGCTTTGAACTCACTCTGAAGCCCAGGCAGGCCTTGAACTTGCTTTTCATTTTAAGATTTATTTTATTTTTAAAATTTTAATTGTTTCTTTTTTTGAGATTATAATATAATTATATCATTGCCCCTTCTCTTTCTTCCCTCTACGCCCTCCCATATACTGCTCCCTGCTTTCTTTCAAATTCATGGCCCCCTTTTTTAAAAATTGCTGTTACATAATTATAAACATATATATTTCTAATACATAAATAAGTCTTACCAAACAACTGTGTAAACACAGCTGAACATGGACAAACAGCAATAGACATGCTATTGTGGACAGGAAGAGCCCAAGAAGCCTCGGTCCTCCACAGAGAGCTGCAGGCGACCAGGAATGTTGAAATCAGTAGAGACCGTCTTCCCCAGGGACGAGCACACCAACCGCTCATCCAATACCCCACGGTCAGCCCTGACGGCATGCACACAGGTAGCATTGCACAGGCCTTGAACTTGTAGTCACCCTTCCAAGCCTCCCAAAGCAGCTGGGATCACAGGAGCGCAGCACCCGGCACAGCCCCTTTTCTTTCCTAACTCACTACAAATGCTGGGGTCAGTATTGATCCGCATGTACAAATAAACCTATAGTGATGCGTTTATTTGTGGGACAAAACTGTCAACATTTCTAGATCAAAGGCAATGGGATAATACACTGCTGATCAAATCACTGCTTCCCCAAACACTTGTGTGCGCTCCCACACCGTCGTCCTCAAACCTTTAACATCACCGGTCGTTGGTTGACCTTTACGTGTTTTATTTTTTTTAAGACAAGGTCTCACCGTACAGCCCTGGCAGGCTTGGAACTTGTTATGTAAACCAGGCTGGCCTGGGACTCACACAGACCTGCCTGCCTGTGTCTCCCCAGTGCTGGGATGAGGTGTGCATCACACCTGGCTTTCGGGCTTTTTATTATTTGCTGTCAGCCTGAGAAAGAAAAACAGATCTAAGTCATGTCCCTGTTTTCAGTGATCTCATTTTCTCTTGTCACTCTTAGCAGGAAGGTCAAATCTTTGACTTGGCCTGAAGCCGCTTGTGGTCCCAGAGTCTACATGCCCTGCAGGAGGCTTAGCTGCTCCTAGGAAGGCTTTCTCAGTTCATGAAAAAATGATGCCATGTTGAGCGGCTTGCCAGTGTGAGCCTATGGGGAACTACGCCTTTTTAAATGTGACTAACTTATGCCTAAAAGGAATAATTATGTCTATTTTATTTGCCTTGATGCAAGTGATTTTCCAGTCACCTCAGGCTGGTTGTTTAAACTCTAAACTTTAGAGTAAACATGGAAACACAGGACTCCTTAAAAAGGTAAAAAAACATGTCGGTACGACACCCCAGCTCCCAGGGAAGAGGCAGAGGTCTGGTTGTAAATTTAGGGGGTTTTTGAGTCTCTTGTTTTTAAGTTGGACTTTTCAAGTAGAAGATGCCTTTTATGTGTTGGTTTGCAGAACAGGAAATCTGATTTTTCCATGTGATAACACTCTTTGACATTAACCAGTGTAGTTGGATTTTTAATGACACTTTCATCTTCAAAGCCCTTTACCAACACAGATGGATTAATTATTCATTTGTGTGTGGCAGGGGGGCAGCGTTAAGAAGACAAGCCTTCAAAGCCATATCCTTTCTCCTTGGAATTGGGGCTCTCTACTGTTCAAATGCTGTTTTTCAGTCCTCAAGGGAGGAAATACAGGTAAATACAATGGGAAAATACTTTGTGCTCTGGGACGGTATCCTTATATCCTGAATGGGATTAGAAGAGGTTAGAGGCAGTACTTAAGCTGTGTTTACAGTAAGCACCCGGCGAAATAACTGGCTAACAGTGTTTGTTACTGTTCCGGCTTTTGATGTGTTTTTAGAGAGCAACAAAAACATAAAGGGCCCCGCGTTAAACATAGGTTAGAACACAAAATCACGGATCCTTTATATTGGATACTAAAATATATAGATTTCGTTCTTGTTACCTTCAAAAAGTGTCTAATTTGATTTTTAAAAGGTCTGATTTCACAGAAGGAAACCTCGGGCTTCCCCGGAGGTCTCCCTTGACTCGACACATCTTCTAACCGCAAGAGAGCAGCCTTCGCTTTGATGAGCGCTTCTTCTCCACCTCCCCAGAAATGAAAGAGCAGGCGTATGTTTGCAAACACCCAGAAAGCTCTCTCTATCAGACCTGAATGCGGAAACCACAAAGGGCAGTCAAGTTTGGATTTTCAAGGAGAAAGCCGGAGTAAACTTTCTCTCGGCAGGCCAGCCGATCTGCAAGTGCCTGGGAGGGGTCCTGCTCAATTCCTGGCTCCCCAGAGCCACACTTGCTAACCCAAGAGTGAATTACAGCAATTGGGCAGCTTTGAAAGATTAATCTGTTTGGGGTGCGATCGTCTATTCAGGCCGGGGACCCTTTGTTAACTTTTGAACTAAGATCGGAGGAAACACAAGCGTGGATGAGGCGCGTCCTCTATCTTTGCCCTTTCTGCTCTGAAGTTTTAACAAGACCCGAGGAGAGCAACGAGCTTCTGAAAGCATGCGAAGTTCCCTCCAAGTGTGTTCAGGTACCTAGCTTCTGGACCTAGAAACTTCTCCAAAGACAGACCGGGGGAGTCTGGATGGACCAGCGTCTCGGCCACAAAAGCTTCAAGTCTCGTCTTCCTGCTGAGAGAGTCATCTCTTGGGTGATCTGCGCACTTGTCGGCGGAGGATGGAGAAACGCAAACCGGCGGGACTGCTGGCTCTGCCGTCCCCGCTACGGACGCCGCCGCCGCCGCCGCTGGGCGCGCTGGCCCGGAGGGAGCCGGGCCGGACCTCCGCGCGCCAGGACGCCGAGGACAGCGCGCGGGGACGGCCGTGCCCGCCCTTGTCGCTGGGGGGCGTCGGCGAGCCCGCCTTTCTGCGCCAGCGCAACGAGCGCGAGCGGCAGCGCGTGCGCTGCGTGAACGACGGCTACGCGCGCCTCCGCCAGCACCTGCCGCGCGAGCTGGCGGGCCAGCGGCTCAGCAAGGTGGAGACGCTGCGCGCCGCCATCAGCTACATCAGGCACCTGCAGGAGCTGCTGGAGCGCCACAGGCGGGACTGCAACAGCGACGGCGAGTCCAAAGCGTCCTCCGGGGCCTCGCCCTGCAGCGAGCCGGAGGAGCGCGCCTAGCAGCGCCCTCGCCCGCCAGGTTTCATGGTAACCCGTTTCTTCTCTGGGCCCGCATCTTAAGAATTAAGTACTTCTGGAGTGGGGGAAAGGGTATTTTAATGTTTGGAGACCTCTCCACCATCTTTGGTTCCGAACCGCAACTTACAAATGCTTGAGGAAACTTGTGAAGCACAGAAGGACCGTCCCAGGGCTGTAACAATTAAACCTTAGCCAGAGAAGAAACACACACACACACACACACACACACACACACACACACACACACACACACACACACACACGGCAGTCCTTCATGTGAGAGGAACGTTCTTGAGCATTCTGTGGGTGAAGGTAGCTGAGCTGACACTGTAACACGTAAGTGGAGCATCTGCTAGACCTGAACATAGGCTTGCCGACTGTGAATAGCCACGTTAAAAAGGACATTCTTGCTTGGTACATACTGCTTCGTCGGCAAGAAGTCATTTGGAAACTTTAGCAGGTAATAAAGTGTCACGATGTGAATGATCTTTTTGGAGATCTGGACGGCCATCTCCCCCCACCCCCCAGTTCCTGCCCACTGTTTCTCATGCTCTTTTCTGTGCATGCTCCCCTGTACAGTTTTCACCCTGTCTAACTTTGGGCTAAAAAAGTGACACTGACTTGAAAAATAAAAAGCAAATATGCTTTGTTTCGATGTTTGCATTGAATGGGGAGGCATGTGGACGATGGATATGAATTGAACTTGCTACCTGTCCAAGCCATTTGTCTTTGAAGGTTTTCAGAAGTATTGAATATTTCACTATGGTCATTCCCTCTGCCTAACCAAAACAGTTATGACTTATAGAAATTGCTAGAAGTTTGTTGACATCTGAAGGTAAACTGCTTTCCAAAGCCCCTGCCCCCTATCCACCCCACAGGCTGGGATTTGATCATAGGGCCTGCTAGGCAAGTGCCCTCCCACTGGTCTACACCCATCCCTACGTTCCTTCTAATACCATACTGTGAATTGCTCTTTCTTTGGAGGTAGCTTGGGCTCAGAGGGGTGGAGCTGAGGAGAACTAGCCTTGGTGAGCACTGCCCAGGCACCATCTCATGCAATCTTTTACTGCCTGACCCATCTAAAGAACAAACAAACAAAACACAAAGACTGTCTAAAAACAACCAACCCCTTTTTATTTTAGCAAGTGGGGGACTGGAGAGATGGCTCAGTGGTTAAGAGTGCATTGCTGCTCTTGCAGAGGACCTGGGTTTGTTTCCCAGCACTCCATGGTAGCTCACAACCATCAAGAACTCCAGTTCCAGAAGACTGGATAACTTTGACCACATGGTGGTAGCTGTTGTTTTTTGTTTTGTTTTGTTTTTTGGCTTTTTTTTTTTTTTGAGACAAGGTTTCTCTGTGTAGCTTTGCTCCTGGATCTCGCTCTGTAGACCAGGCTGGCCTCGAACTCACAAAGATCCACCTGCCTCTGCCTCCCGAGTGCTGGGATTAAAGGTGTGCCCAACCACTGCCTGGCTTTGTTTTGTTTTTTAAGATTTTCTGTACTTCCTTTTTTTGTACCTGCTTCACTGTCTTTTGTAAACCTGCTCTGCAAACTACTCATGCATGATTTTACTCCTGAAAAGGGCCCTAAGAAATAGACTCAGGGCTGCTCTCTCTAACCTGACTTAGGAGGCAGCCACTGGCCTCTCTGGTGCATCTCAATTGAAGTCAAGCTTGCTTCGAATTTGGCTCCAAATTGTGGTAGTGGTCTTCCTCTCACCGGATGGGATTAACGGAAGCTTTGTGGAGTCAGTTCTCTCCTCCCGCCTTGTGTGGAGTCAGGGATTGAACTGGGTAGTCAGGCTTCGATGGCCCACCAAGCCCTACCTATCACAGGAATGAGCACTTTCAGAAGATTTGCTCTGCTTTCCCTGTGGTGGAGCACTCCATTAAGCCATAGAACATTGCACCTTCTTCTAAAAGAACAAAACAAGCCCGAATGCTATTTATGGAGTGGAGTGTTATGTTATGGGAAAACAGGGATGATGAGAGAAGAGAGGTTTCCCTGTCCTTGAGGTCTTCCCTGGTTGGTTGCCTAGAAATCTCCAGATGTTCCTCGGGTTCCTACCCTGATAGCTGCTGGGACACACACTTCTGAGGGCTGAGAAGAAGGAGCCCTGAACTTGAATTCTTGGCTTCTGGAGTTGAGAAGCAGCAGTTCTCTGTTTAAGCCACCTCTGACAAAGCCTTACCTTGAATTTGAAAGCCAGGTCCCAGCTGGCCAGGGAAAATGTGTAGGAATGTCAGCACTGCCCATGGTAACTAAGCACACACAGGCTCTAAGTTCTCTGACCAGTTTCCATCAGAGACCTGAAGTTGTTTTCAGAACTGAATAGTTAGTCCCACATCACCCTGGAAATGTGGCCCCCAGAATCCTCCACTGCAGTGATGGCTGGATCCCACTAGATAGCTCCTTTGGACCCTTCTCTGTTGGTCATCACACATCTTTCGTCCCATGGTAGACAGACAGACAGGCTGCCTGCTGGGGTAGAGCAGAGGACCTGAAGGTGCTTTATAGTTCCTTTACAGGTCCATGACAACTAAAACCGCTCCCAGCCCTTTGATTATCAGCACTGAGTTGCATATGTGTTTTCCTTGTAGGCTCTCTGGGTGGTGAGGCTGGCATTTAATCTCAGAGCTATTTCGCGGTGTCCTTTGCTTGAAGACCTGTCAGCCGCCCTTTCATGTTGCGTTACTCACTGTCATTAACTGCAGCCAGGAGAAAACCACAGCTGCTGCAGAGAGGGGTCCGGCCAGACAACACAACTCTCCAGACTGGTTTTTTGCCTCCAGAGCAGGGCCTAGAGAAGGCCACTCCTGAAGGTGGTTTTCATTTCCCTGACACTGGAAAATAAGCTAAGAATTCTATATGTGAGCTATAGGCAGGGCCTTGTGAGATGACCTGATCCGGGGCCAAGAGTTCTTAACAAATGAGGATTGAACAGTGCAGGCCATATACTTGTCCTTAAGTGTACCTTTTTTTTTCTCTCTCTCTTTTTTTTGTAAAACACCACTGAAGGCAGACCATTCCACATGCTAGCAGTTTCTGAGGTTATATTGTAGAGCAGGCTAGCCCTTCTATATACTAGTTTCTGCTGATTTTCACAACTGTGTGAAAGGATGGATATATCACTTCTGTTCTTGAGATTAGGAGCCTGAGGCCTAGAGAGACCACGTGACTGTAGAGATACTTTGCTCACTGCTTCAAGAAAATATCCAACAGGAAACATAAGGAGATGGGGTGAATCTGGCTCATGGTTGGAGGGGCCTAGGCACAGAGAAGCCTGTGGCTTCAAGGCACTGGGAATTTGGCTGCACCTGATTGCTTATGTTTCTGTGAATCATAAAGCAGAAACAGGAGCTGGGTGGTGGTGGTGCACTCCTTCAATCCCAGCACTTGGGAAGCAGGCAGATCTTTGTGAGTTTAAGGCCAGCCTGGTCTACAGAGCAAGGACAGCGAGGGCCACACAGAGAAACCCTGTCTCAAAAAATAAAACAACAACAACAACAACAAATAAATAAAGCAGAAACAGGACAGGAAGTGGCACCAGGCTATAAATCTCAAGGCTTGATCCCCAGAGATCTGCTTCTTCCATTGATCCCCTCACTTCCCAAAAGTGGCATAACCTCCCAAAGTAGCACCAGCTAGGGACTGAGTGTTCAAACACATGGCCCTTTAGGGGACATTTTACATTCATACCATAGCATTATGCTTAGGCTCATGGCCATCTTATTATGTAAAATACACTAAATTCAATTCCAAAGGTTTTCATAGTCGAACAGTTTCACCAATGTTAAAAAGTCATAAGTCTCTTCTGGGTCTCAAGGCACTCTTAACTAGGAGCCCCTATAAAATAATTTTTTAAAACTACTTCTAACGTGCAAAGAGTAAACATTCCTGTTCTAAAAGAGAATGGGTACATAACAGGGACAAACCAGACCAAAGCAGACTGAAACTCAGCAGAGCAAACTCTTCAGCCCCATGTGTGGCATCTGGGTAGCGTCATGACATCATCTAAGCTCTAACAAGCTTGGCAGGTGTGGTAGTTTGAATGTAACTGGCCCCCATAATCTCATTAGGGAGTGGCACTGTTGAGGTGTGGCATTGTTGAAGGAAGTGTGTCAAACTGGGGGGGTGGGCTTTGAGGTTTCCTACGCTCAGGATGCCACCCGGTGACACAGTTGACTTCCTGTTGTCTTCTGATCAAGATATAGCCAGCATCATGCCTGCCTGCACACTGCCATGCTCCCCACCATGATGATAATGGACTGAACCTCTGAAACTAAGTGAGCCACCCCAATTAAATGTTTTCCGTATCAGAGTTGCTGTGGTCACGGTGTCTTTTTGCAGCAGTAGTAACTCAAACTAAGGTAGTGGTGTTGCCTTCTAGCTCTGTTGCCTGCAACACATTTGGTCTCTCTTAGACCAGCTCCACTCAAAGAAAGCCTGCAACTTTAATTGGTGAATGTTTCACATTTCCAGTATCTTGGAGTCTCCACTGCAATTTAGGCTTCACCTTCAAGCTTAACTATATCCCACTCAGGAATCCATGTAGATAATATGACCCTACTGTGATGCATGGCCTCAGTGGCTTTCTAGAACCTTGGTGTAACCTTTTGTGACACCATAAGTCTTGTTTTATTTATTTATTTATTTATTTATTTATTTATTTATTTATTTATTTTATTATGTATTTGTTCATTCTTCATTATTTATTTTTGGTTTTTTGATACAGGATTTCTTTCTCTGTGTAGCTCTGATGTCCTGGAACTCAGAGATCTGCCTGCCTCTGCCTCCCAAGTGCTGGGACTAAAGGCGTGCGCCACCACTGCCCACCTTGCATTTTTTTTTTTTTTTTGTATGTCTGCAAAACCAGCACCATGGGGCTAAAGAGATGACTCAGAGGTTGAGCATTTGGTACTCTTGCAAGAGGACCCAAGTTCAATTCCCAGCACCTACATAGCAGCTAACAACAGTCCTAGGGGATCCAATACCCTCTTCTGTTCCCTTCGAACACCAGGTATGCATATGATGCACATATACACATGCAGGCAAGACACTCATACACATAAAATAATAAATCTAATTAAAAAAACACCCTATATATAACACCAAGTTCTGCTTCCAACTTGAGATGTAGACTGGCCATTTTGGACCACAGCTGCTGTGGCTCTGTACCTTACAGGATGACTGGAAAAAATACTTCCCAGTATAGCCCTGCTTGAGCAGAATGCCTTAGATCTTTGTGCGTTCATTCTCTTTTCAAATGAAAGTCATCCAAATGAGTTTGCATCTTGGAGCTCTGTATAGGTGTAGTATTGCCTTCAAGGCATCTTTTCTACTGTGTTGGTGCAAAGTCCAAGGTTTCTCCTTAATGACACTGTCTTAGCTGGTTTTTATTGCTGTGAATAGATGCTATGACCATGACAGCACTTAAAAAGGAAAGCATTTAATTGGGGCTGGCTTACCGGTTCAGAGCTTTAGTCTATTATTGTCACAGTGGGAAGCATGGCGGCATGCAGGTAGACATGGTGCTGTAGCTGTAGCTGAGAGTTCTATATTGGGATCTAGAGGCAGAGATAAATGTACTAACCAATCATAGTTGATAGGCTTCCACTGTTTAAGTGGTTGCTCAGATGCAATAAAGCAGATGCTGTTCCCTGAAACTGTCTCTGGAGTGGTTCATCTTGGCACCCTTTACCAACCTGTGGGCACTGCAGTCTTGTAAGGAGACAAGAGAGACTGGTAGTGACTGCAATAGCATGGGCAAACATGAAATCCTGCAGCTCTGTGTTTGGCATTTAGGGTTCCAAAGGGCCCTGACCCTCTAGCTCTGCTGCCTAAAACATGTATAGCTCTCCTGCTAGCTCCACTTAATATATGCAGCTTTCCTTAGTGGGTGTCCCACATCTGGCATCCCTAACATACTGAAGTTCCCATTCTCCACTGCAGCTTAGGCTTCATCTTTACCACTTCATGAAGCAGGCTCTCAGGGCCTCCGACAAGGCCACATTCTGCCTGACTTTAGCTGCTCTCTGAAACTGTGAGGAAAGGGCCCATGATCCCCTCAGTCTTGCATTTCATTTCTCCTGCCTGAAAAAACCTGTACCACATGGATGACACTGCCAAGTTCTGCTTCCAGCCTGAGGTCTAGTCTGGCCCTTTGGATCACAGCTGTACTAGTTTCTGTGT